TGGGGCAGGGGCAGCCGCAGTCGCGCGAGCTGGCAGGCTGTGGCAGCCGCCCCGACGGCGGCTTCCGCCCATCCCGGGTGGTGGTGGTGGCCAAAACCACCCGGTACGAGTTCGAACAGCAGAGGTACCGTTACGCGGAGCTCTCAGAGGAGGACCTGAAGCAGCTGGTGGGTCCCGGCGTCTCCCGCCTCAGTGTCCCCTCTCGGCTCCAATGGGCACCCTGGCTCCCGCCGGCTTTGGGGGGCGGCTGCGCCCCCGCGGCAAGACCTCTCTGGACGACCCTTACTTCTAGCGTGCCATAGATAGCACCCCCGCCCCACTCCTGTCCCCCACACCCTCTGCCTTCGCTCGTGGCGCCCCCTCGTCTGTGTGACGGGAGAGTGGGGAGATAGAGGAGAAAGGGTCATTGTTATTGCAGGAACACCCCACCCCCAAGGTAGGGGCACCTTGAGGAAGCCTTGGAAGAGGACTCCACAGTGGGAGGGGTTTGGGGATTCGCTGGTGTCTTCACTGTCACCACCCCCTTGTTGAGTAAAATTTCAGCTCTGAGAGAGGTGGGCTGGAGGCAGAGGTCTGGGACTCTGGGGAGACCTCCCAGACCGCCTACAGAACCGGGGGGTCGGGGACGCCACCGCCGCGGGCAGGGGAAAAGAGGGCATGGTACTACGGACACACCCCCTTTTCCTTTGCCGGACTTTGAGGCCCTGGGACTGGAAAAAGCCCTTCTGGGTGAGCCTTTCCCATGCTGGAACGCGCTGATCGTCCAAGATTCTAGCAGTTTATTAAAAAGCACGCGTGCCGCACGTTGGTGCTGGAGAGCAAGTGAGAACATTTGGCTTTGACTATGTTCTTTAGTGGAAAGGTCAAGACAAAGGGCAGAAAACAGTCGTGTGTGAAATACGGAGCCTGCTTCTGTATTCAGGGAATATTCAGGGAAAGCCCCCTGAATATTATCTTTCCTCTCTTCATTTGGAAACTTCTGATCGCTCCCACTCACAGCAGGAACAGGGGAGTGAAGGTACCGTCATAAGCAGTATGTCCAGGAAACTCACTGCAAACCTCTTAATTGTTGACACGGTGCACCAGAAAGTTTTGGATTTCATTGCCTAGCCATAATCTTGTAGAGTTCTGTACACAAGAAGATAGCCTATTCTGAGCTTCTGATAATGGTTTGTAGGCTTCAGATTTTTGTAACAATTGTTGAGGCATGAAAATGAAATGGTAAATCACCTACTTAAGTACTGACTTTATTTTCAGTCTGAGCTTCTTGACTCTGATCACTTAATTAAGAGGGTCCCTGCATTCATATGATGTTGCTAGGCAGGTATGGATTTGTTTTCTTTTCCTTAAGTAGCACTTTATAGAAAACATTAGCGTCATTTAAAGAGTAAATCAGCAATTTGAACAGGAGATGGAGCAGTAAAGTTTTTTGGTAGGTAGTGAAAGTAAGGTGTTGCAGGAAATAGTAAATGTCAGAAGCAAGTACATTGTTTCTGTTTGGGGAAGGCTTATATCCCTTGGGTCTTCATTTTGCATTGTCTACCTTTTATGCCACATATCCATAAATAAATCCTTTATATAATTTTGTGAAAGTCTCCCAACACAACTAAATATTGTGCGCTTGATTGGCATGTTCAGTGTGGGGTTGGTGATCCAGGATTGATCCAGGAGTTGTAGGCCCAAGTATTATGTGGTTAAACTTCTGATGAGTCTCCAAGGGTGAAAATGATACTTTCTCTGCAGTTTTATTGTCAGTTTTCATAGTGCTTTAAGCTATATCGATGCAATATTAGGGTTGGACTAGTAAGCATCTTTACCTGCAGAGCTGAAATTTTTGAGACTGGTTATCTTTTTCAAGCTTTCAAGCAAATGGGTGACATTTGAATTATTGCTACATTAATTTTTAGATTGCTAAGCTGAATTGCCACTAATAAAAACTTTTTAAGTGAGTCTTTATAATGTTTGAAATATCCATTGTACCCATTTGAGTATCTAAGGAGAAGACTCAAATAGGTAAATATTTGTCTACTGCTGGGTATTACAATCAGCACAAGAAAACTTTGACGTAAAACTTATGGACTAGAGAGCACAGTTCTGTAAATACCAGGTAGTGAAGTAGTTGTCACTTTAATTAAATTTTATTGGGTTATTTCCTTATATGAGTCTATCATTTATATTATGACCAGTATTCAGAACTGAATGACATTAAGCAGATCCCAAACCAGAGATCAGGGACAAGCCAAAAAATTTTGAGGAGTCTGTGTTAAGATGTAATGTTGTTGACTTTTTTAAAAGATAGTAAGATAGTATCTTTATCATGTGAGTTGGGTTTTAAAGAAACGCAAGTGCGGATAGTATCATGGTAACTTGAAACTGTGTCTTTTTGTTGTGTTGGTGGTTTTGTTGCAAAATTGGTCTCTATTAGGTTACTATTTAAAATGCAAATGAAAGAGGATTGCATGCCACTACAATTTTATACTCCTACCTCTAGTGTATAAGTTTCTGACTTTGTATAAACTTAGAGGAAATCCCTAGATAATATCCAGAATATGTTTACATTCTCCACTTCTATCAAACTGGGTCTGAGTTTGAATTTCAATTACAAAGTGTGAAAGATTTGTGGGATCTAAAGTGAAAGCAGTGTATATTCTTTCATATTTTAATAGTTACACTTTATTTTTAAATCTTGTTTTTCCTTCCCCTGACTATTATTTTTGTGTGTATGGCTGTCAGTAGAGGATTTCTAATCAAGGATTTTACCTCTGTGGGCTCAGGACTTTGTAAAGGTTAAAATATTATAGCAGTTTACTTGAACAATTAAGAGATGCAGCTATTGGTAAAAGTGTAACTTTTTATTTAATTTTTTCTTCAAGATTTATTTATGCATACAAGAACTGTGGTGTAGGCCTGGGGGGTGGGGGTGAGGAGGTGATTCACCAGAGACAGTGGTGAGAAGAACTGAAATACTCTGCTGAGGGGAGCAGGAGATGAGATAGGAGAGGTCTGCTGTGTCTTGTGGGTCAGCTCCTTGATGGAGGGATTAAACTTAATCCCTTCTGCCACCTGGGAGGTCCATGTGTAGCTTTTTAAAACAGGATCCATGACACTCAAAATTTAGACCTTTAGATTACTCAAAGCTGACTGGAGAGTGTTTTTGAAATAGTAAATATTGCCTTATTGTAAATAAGTAAATAGCAAATATTATAAATAATAAGAAATGCCTTATTTGCTAGAGAGAGTCTATTTTAACATATTTAATGTATGCCAAATAAGAGTGACTTTTACACCCTCTTGTCCCTCACACAACCCAAGAGATAGTCTCCCCTAATAGTTTCCATTTTTAGTTATTTTTAAAACTTGTCTTAATAATAGATTAGAATGACTTCATTTAGCAGCCTTTCTATTTTAGATTAATTTATTCCTAGTTATTGCTCCTTAGCAGATTTAGAGGTTATAGTGCCTTGGATTGTGTTTCCTGTACTCACTTTCCTGAAAAAGATGTGTAATTTAAGTTGTAGTTCTTGGGAGGTAACAGTTTGCCACATGATGTGCAGTGAATATCAAACTGAAGAGTATGATCGGGAGTACTGCCAGAGCCTCCCGCCTCTCAAATCTTCAGACACAGGCACCAGGCCGCTCTATCTAAAGTGAACATCTTGCTTCTATACGCCTCTGCTAGGGGATTTGTTGAAAAGCAGATACCTGACACACTGTCTCCCTGTCTCTCCGTGTCTCTGTCTCTTTCTCTTTCACACAAGTACCCCTCTGCCCCACCCCATCAAGCCCGTGAGTGAATCTAATGCCCTTGTGGAGAACTCCCACTCTGCTTTTCTGAGATATAACCTTAAGGTTTTTTCACCTTGGATTATCCGCTTTTAACAAGCTCTCCAGTTGTACAAATGTTCTCCAGATCATACTTTGAGAAACACTGCTGTGAGCTAACCAACCATCAAGACTTTTTAGTGTATCAAATAGACTTCATGAACTATCACCTGTCTACCTCTTGAGTTTCATTTCTGATTCGTTCTTGTCTTGAACTTAATTTTACAATAATCTCTAACTTTTACTTTCCATTTAGATTTTGTAATGACTTAAAAAAAAGTATGTGTCAGTAGTACATTAAAATGTAAAAGATACAGAAGAGTATACAATGAATAGACTTTTTCTTGTACTTATTACTCAGTTTTTGCCTCTGGTAACCAGTGTTATCATTTCCTCATGTTTCCTCTAAGAAATAATCTACACAAATAAATCAACACATTGAAGTCCCCCTCTGCTTTTTTACTCAATTATAAACTATTTAAATTTTTCTGCATCTTGCTCCTTATTTTTCAGTCGCCTCTATAGTGTTCTATTGTATGTAAGCCTTACTTTATAAAAATAATAGTTGGTAGTGAATTATATTTGTGTTAATTTATTCATGTGTTAATCAAACTCAAAGATCTGAAGGTAGAATTGCTGAGATAAAAGCCACATGCAGGGCCCTCCCTCGGCTCTGTCACATAGTGCGTGACACAGTGCGTTAAAGCACAGCACTTGCAAGCTGGCTGCAGAACTTCAGTGCCAGATACCAGCCCCAAAGGTGATCCACATGGTGTGGCTGGCCTCTCCTGACCCACCCACTGCTCCCCTCAGCACTGTACTTTGTCAGTCTGCCTGTTCTGTCCCCACTCTGTCTCTGGTGAATCCTCTTACCATCTCTGCACCTCTGGCCTGTACCCCAGTTCTGTATGCATAAATAAATCTTTTTCAAAAAGCCACATGCAATTGAAAATGTAATAGATATTGCCACATTGTACCGGTGCACATCTTCACCAGCAAGTGTGAAGATGTTTCTTTTTCCATAAACAATGTATTAAATTTTGATCTTTGCCAACTGGTAGTTGAAACAAGATTTTAGGGTGGTTTGATTTATATCCCTCAGTATCTTTACTTTTGCAGCCCTCTTTGCTTTGAGTGTTTCTGCATCATCTAACCAAGTATTGTTCTTCCTTTGAAGTCAAGCTGAATCACTGTTCTCACCAGCTATCCTTGTTAATCTTGCTGTGCCTCTCTCTAGCCACCAAAGTTGTATTAGACAGTCCTCACAATCTAGAGTATAATTGGTGTCTATTTTTCTTCTCTAGTCTTTAAACTATTTGAGGGTAAGAAATGCACTCTCTCCACC